GTATAAGAAGTTATACTCAAAGATTTCAAGGAAAGAGACACTATGGTAACTATTTCTATGTCATGATAACTTGTGGTGAAACACTATTTTGCTTAAATGGTTATGATTTGACCTGTGCTGTTCTGTTATTATGCCCTCTTTCGTCTCAATCCCCCCCTTTATAAAATTATTTACTTTTTTCTTTTTATTTTTTTAATTAAGGGAAAAATAAATAAAAAATGACAGGATACATTATAGTAACCTACTTTGATTTCCTATTAACTTGATTTGAAATCCTGTATTGCCCTCACCATCTTGTTTTGACTGATTTTCCTCTATTCTGCTTTGCTTGATAGTACCAAGTTCGAAAGTATAGTTGTAACTGTGAAGACAATAAGAATCATTATGACGCCCATCCCGGTTGACTATTATTTTCTTTTAAAATCCTGTAATGTCTCCAATGCTTTGGTTTTATTCTTTACTGTTTTGTTCAATTTTATTATAACTGTCAATTCTTCTTAAAATAGCAAGAGGCAGAATGGTAACCATTGTTGATCACCTTATATTTTGTTTTTACATTATCTATTATGTCCATTCTTTTGATTTGATTGACTCTGTTCTGATATGTTGCATTTGGTTTTACTCTCTTCAAAAAAAAGTAATAAGAACTGTGGGAGTAATAAAACCCAAAATGTGTAATTGTCACTGTACAAAAGAAAAGAAAAGAAAGTGTTTTAAAGGTTATAACTGCATATATGTTTAAGTGTGTAAGATAGATAACCATATTACTGAGTGTTTCTTGGATCACTGAACAAAACTGTTTGCACTCTCACTGTTTGAAAGTCCACTTTATTTGCTTCAAATTTGTAACTTGAACAACTATTGCTAAGATGAGAATACGTAATCCATTAACTAGTGATTTCTTACTTTTTATTTTTTAAATATTGTATTACTTGTACCCTTTTTCTGTTTTTTTTTCCCTTATTCTCCTTAAATTAAAAAAAAATTCCTTGGCAATGAGATTCTTATCTCTTGATTTTCCACATGAGTATTTCAATAACAAAAAAATGACATTTAAATTAATTGTGAGGTAATTTATCAGCAAGAACTTTCTATATATTTAAAATTCACATCCACAAATAATTTAAAAACTAGATTTATATCTACTTATTGAAAATAAGTATCAAAGGATTTTAGTCAATATTTTATCAAAAATATTAATTAAGATTTCAATGTCATATTGAAGTACATTTTCTTTAATAGACTTGAACAATTTTTTGACAGTTCATAAACTGTGAGTTGTGAAAGTTTTTGAATACTGTCATTCAGTAAAAGGTATCTGAAGTGACTTTGTTAAGTAAATTAACATTTACTTCAAAATGAAAATATCTGAGAAAAAAACTTAAAAATCTAAGAAAGACATGAGAAGCATATAGGATTTAATTGTATCACTATTATATATCTAGTCTAGAAAAGACAGTGTATCTTTAAAATATTTACTCATATCATAAATATATTTCTAAGGGGAAAAATAGAAAAGGAAAATGAGAGAGAAGTTTATCTATTTAAGCTAAGTCTAAGAAGGCAATTTTGCTGTAGTGCATCAAATCTATAGAAAATAAAATACATTTCTATATAAGCGTGTTTCTCCTGAATATCTTTGCTTCTTTAGCTTCTTTGGAAATGTTATGCTTAATAGAACTATGAACATATGTTCAGCCCAACACTACTTCCCTGATAACAGTGTCGGTAGCTGTTTATTTCTGCATTCTAAGGACGCACGTATTGGATTAAGCATGGAAGGAGACCTTTTGCCACTATGCAAAATTCCCACTCAGGCATCATTGATAGAAATTGAAAACAAACATAACCAGAAACACAATTCTACTTTTGAACATTATATCATCATCTGGGAATTATTCTGACATGTCTTAGTGAGCTTATGGTAATATAATCCCTCTCTTAGGTAGAGAACTCAAAAACACAAGCATATCAGGAGAGCTTAAAAATTTAAGCAGCGTCACTCAAGAATGGAAAAACAATTTATTAGTTGTTTACTATAGTTTTTGTCTGGAATCCATTTTTCCTTTATCTTTTTTAGTAGAATGCTGAGCTATTTAAAGAGTTTTGAGGTCTTCTTATATTGCTCTTTGACTTGTATATAAATAGAAATAGTTTCCTAGTTTGTCATTAGTTTCCACATATTGACTTAAAATGGTGTTCTGGTTTATATCTAGATGTTCTCCCAAAGCCTCTTGAGATCATAGGTAGGATTTTTGTAGGTGATTGGATCCCACAGGCATGCTATTCACCAGGGAATCAGACCATTGATGAGCCTCTAACCAAATGTGATTTGGGAAATGAAGCCTGATGGGAGGAAGTGGTCACTGGAGTGTGTCCTGCAGGGATCTGGCTCCCTCATCCCTTCATTTGTCCCTCTAGTTCTGCCCTCCCAGGCCATGAGCTGTTTCTCCTCTGTTTGCCCTGTTGCCTTACCACCTTGCCTTTGAACCAGCTACATATGGAAGCCTCTGCAAACCATGAGGCAAAATAAGCCTCTCCTCCCATAACCTGTGAGGGTCAGTTATTTGCCACATAGTTACTTTCACGAGAAAGTAACTAAGGCAAATGGTAATTGTGAGTGTAATGGCTGTGCTTTATGTTCCACATATAAGCATCATAGAAATAGGTGCTGTTTTTTCATTCCATTAAATTAAATTTTGTTGAAATTTTAAAATTTATTCTTTTATGTCATTTTTAATCTATTCACTTTATTTTTCCAGTACTTAATTTCATCTTAAAATGTAAAATTCATCACTTAGCCAATAAATTAATGAAGATTTACATTTCAGAGAAAGTTTATTTTTTAGAAAGAAGTTACTAGCATTTCTTTGTGATGCATAATACATTCATTTTGGGGAATTAAAATCATTTTGATACTATTTTCTCTCTAAATTTTTGCCTCTGCATTTCCCATTGTTCCCTTCTTCTCCCTGTTTCTTATTATCTCTCCTTAATTTTGCTCTTTAAAATATATACAATTTGGTCTCCTTCCATGCATAAAGGGGGTAAAAAAAGTACGAGAGAGGTTTATAAGTAGAAAGTAAGAAAAACTATACAATATTTAATTGTCTGCATCTGGATTTGTTTCACTTCATGTCATAGTCTCAAAACCTATCTATTTTGCGACAAAGGACTTGAATCTATTCTTGTCTGATTATGGGTAATATTCTGTTGTGTATATACACCACATTTTCTATTTTTCTTTATTCATTCATCTTTTAATGAGCATGAAGGCTGTTTCTATGACTTAGTTACCTTAAATCACACTGTTATAAAAATGACATGCATGTATGATGCCCAGGAAAGGTACAGCTGGGTGAAATGGAATTTCTATTTTTAATTATATTGAAGAATTTTAATATTTATTTCCATAGTGGTTTTGCTGGTTTAGATTTCCACCAACGACATAAAAGGGTCTCTTTACCCCTAAACCTTGTCAGTATTTTTTTTTTTTTTTGGATCCTTGAGGACTCCCTTTCATTCTAGAGTAAAATGGCATATCAGTGTTGTTTTCAATTTGAATTTTCCTAAGGTCCCAGATATTATTTGTACATGTACGTGCAAGTTATTTATTCTTCTTTTGACAAGCATCTATTAATTTTAATTGTACGACTTTTTTGGTAATGCTTTTGTGTTGAAGCTTACAGATCAACTGAACTAGTGAATTCTGCCTAGTAGAGATCCACAGAACTAAATTTTAAGAATTACACAACTGCTGCTGACATCAACACGCAAAGTAAAAGCCATGCATTAATATAAATTTAAATCTTGTTTGGAAAATGTACTCTTAAAGTAACCCAAGAATGCAAAGAATTAGTAATGATAAAAGAAACGACTATGAGGCCGAAGAAGAAAGAAGTAATTTTAGATATAAGAGAAGTTGAGAAAACAGAAAGATTAAAAAAGAATAATAAACATGTGAAAAAAAGAATGCAATTTTTAATGATATTTTATAATCATAAAGAACAGAATACAAGGAATTAATGTATATGGGGGTGAAAAAAGTATGAGAGGGGTTTATAAGTAGAAAGTAAGAATATCTTTATGCAGACTATACACAATTTATAAATTAGCAGAGACTCTAGGTCTGAAGACCTAAGCAATGATGTTTAATGAGTGAAAACATGACACATCAATGTAAAACACTGTGGGCACACTAACCCTTTCTTAACACTCATATACAGGTGCTCATTGACATATGCCCCTCACCTACACCCCAGAATAGAAAAAAAATACGATTTTATGATAGTTTCTGTATGACAGATAATATGGGGAAGGTAGTGACACGGGGAAGTACCTGAGCAGGAAATTGAGGGAGAGAACAGAGGAGGGAGTGTAGATAGTCAGTGAGAAATCATACAAGCAGAAAAAAGCTGGTCAATAAGCTAGCAGATAGACTAGTTTTAGCAATCCTGCACAATAACCTGTGGTGAGCAGAAATATAATGTGAGATGTGTGTTGTATTTAGGTTGGTCTTCATAGTTTATGTATACAAGAGTAGATAGAATGGTAGAGGAAAAAGGAAAAAGAAAAAATATAAGGGGGAGAAGCCAGGACATGGAATGCATGAGGGGGAAGACAATGAGGTGGAGGATGACCAATTAGAGGAGAGAGGGCGGCTGTGGCCAACTGTTGATCTGTCGAGAGAAAGGAGTCTAGGAAACATCTGAAAACACCTGGGAAGTGGGCATGTGTAACTTAGCAGCATGGACTACCTTACAAGCAACAGTACAAAATTCATACACACAGTCATGACCACAAAACCGGAAACACAAGACCTGTCACACACACACACACACACACACACACAAATTTTTTTAAAAATAGAAGAAAAGGAAATAGAAGATATACAAACACAAAAAAGCAAACAAAGGCGCTTAAACATGCAAAGCCTCTGGTGGTCCCAGAATAATGGTGGGTCCCCTTCCCGCCTTGGACTGAGCTGTACCAACCTGCGGTTCACAATGAGAGCCCACCAGGGGCGCTGCTGTTGGCTGCACTCAGTTTCCTCCTTCAGCTTTGTGCTCTGTGCAGTCCTGTCCGGTCTTCCAGCCTTGCTGAGTCAGTCACCTGAGGTGGGCGGTGCTAACCCTGCACTTGTGCAGTGTCCGAAGGCTTTTCTTGGCCTCTTCTACTTTCAGGTCAAAGAAATGCACCTGCTTGCTGAGTTTGAATCTGAGCTGAGATTTTGGTTGTTTACGGGAGCCAGCAGGAAATAGAGCTGATTTGTGTTGGTTTTGTTCCACTCCCAGTGATCCTGTGTCCCACTTGTGCAGCTTTACGGCAGGTCTTTTTCCAGGCTGTGAATCAGTAGCTTTTACTGCCTGATGGAAGAAACCAGAGTGGGTTTCAGTGGCATTTGGGGATGTTTGGAGGGAGCTCACACAGAGTCAGCAATGTTTGGCGGGCAATGAAACAGTGCCTGGTTTGGCAATGCTCTAGTATTCTCGGTTAAAATTTCAATAAATTAATATAAATTATACATAGAGGTACCATTTTGCCTAAATTCCAGGCAAGCACACACTACTTGTATACAAGAGCTCAGACTGGATAACAAGACTTTGATAATCTCATCCTTTCCTTTTCTAGCATGTGATTACTTTCTTCAATACTATGCTCATCTTCAGTTATATTCTCATCATGGGTTGGTTTGTGGTATCAAATAACATCTTTATATCTAGGTTTCATTCAGGAAAACAATTTAGCTCATTCAGTGATCTGGGTCTAAACAAATCACAATAACTGGAGAGGATTAACCAAGCTGGTATGATTCACAACAGTATCATTGAGTGCTTTCCTCAGAACCAAACAAATAAACATGGAACATCGGTGGTTTCCTAAAGGCAAAATAATGTGCAATTTAAATGAGAAGGATTCATCAACACACACAAACACACATGTAGTCCCAGTACAGTTTTTTTTTTTTATTTTACAAAAGGTGGCATTCCAGAAAAATGACTATGAATAAACAACAATGTAATTAAAATGAATATGAAGAAAGAAATAATTTAATCACTACAATAGCTTATAAGCCTTCAAGATGAATTGCAGCATATGAAAAATGTGATGTAAGTTGTGACAGACAGAATTGTACAATGTCCTCCAAAGGCTTTACAAGCTCTTTCCTACTTGTCTAGCAAGATCCTCTAATCTGCACCACTAGTGACACCCCTGCTATGATCAGGTTACGATACATGGAGCCTTTAACTATAAGAAAAAAAGTTTTATCTGGGAAATCTTAACGTAATGACAGAAACCTTTCAGTGGCATGGACTTTTCTCCAGCTGAATTCAGAAGTGATGCTGAGACACTGCTTTCTAGATGACCTTGTAGAAAACAAGTATTCCTGTTGTAAACTGCCTTTTGGGTCTATGTCGCAAAGAAATGTGGGCAGATTCGAGGAGCCAACACAATCTGTAGCTGATGGACCCTGAGGAGACAGCTGCCTTTTCCTTATACCTACAAGGGATCAAATTTCAACAGAAAATAAGAATGGTCTTGAAATTGAACTCTTCCCAGAAACTCTGGGAGAGAATTAAGTGTGATACCTTGATTTTTCCCCTTTAAAGTTAACTTCTAGAGGATGGTGGATGATGAGAGATAAGAGATAGGGATAATAGCTGTTGCCAAATTTAGCAATTCTCTGCCACAAGTCCTCTCTATTATTGCATAAGATTATGATGCCAAATGCCATTTATCTTCCTAGATTGACACATATGCTAGCGAACAAATTTTTGATGTAATGGATTTAATAAAATGTTCCGTACTGCTTACCACAGTAACCACTAACTAACTTGAAGTGTGGAATGAAATACACTTTCATTCATTTAATATGTCTTGACTTATAAAATTTCTTCCTATATTCTTATATTCTCTGTCTCCATAATTTTTTCTGTTGATATTATGGAAGTCTTGTAGACATCAGGAAATGCATTAGGGATGTCATTTTGATACCTTATCTAGATTACATTATAATTCCGTGCCCAGATCATGCTGACTGATTTAACATACAGAATTACTCTTCAGTCTGTAATAATGGTGCCATCCTCTCAAATGCGTGTGTCTTCCTCTCATAAAACTGAGATTTGTTTTTTTTTGCTGTACTGTATTTTAGAGTTGCAAGATAACTTTGACGTCCATTTGCATAAACAGAGCTTGGTAATGAGTTTTTTCCTGTGGTATACCACCATTGACCAGGGTGTTTTATTTAGCAGGAACATTTCTAGAAAAAACAACCTTACATGTATTCAACGTATCCAGGAAGACATTTACTACATCTCCTTCCCATCAGTTTTCTTATAAGATTATATTCTTCAATCATTTTGAAATTCATACTGTTAAAATCATAATGCTTGATTTCTTTCCTAATAAACTAAGTAAAGATGAAAAAAACCTGTTAATCTGTCACTGAGGAAAAATAACAATTAACGTACCGAATAATTATACAGTTCAAACAATGTGTTTCATGCAAAGTCATCCACAGATTAGATAACGTTATATAATATTATTTTTATTTATTTATTTATTTATTTATTTATTTGTCTTTTTCATTTTTACCGGTACCGGGGATCGAACCCACGACTGCCTGCTTGCAAGGCAGGCACTTATGCCGCTGAGCTAAATCCCCAGCCCCCATAATATTATTTTTACAATTATTCGAAAGCAACTCATTTGACCTGTTATGTGTATCTGTAATAATAAAAGCAGAGTCCGTTATTTAAGGTTTTTCAAATGTGTTTTTGAATTCTTCAGATCTATGACAAAGTAACAATGCCTGTAAATAAGAGTATTGTTTGATGAACATCAGAAAGGGCTTCTCCCTTCAAAATAAGCATAAGATGTGTTGTTTTGGTCAAGGTAGTAACACAATTGAAATTGAGTAAGTTCACGTATAAACTCTCTAAGTATCATTCTGTTGTGACCTTGGAGAACTGATTGTGTTCAAGCTGTCATTTCCTAATCTGCCTGTGTCACTGTTTGGAAGGAATTTTGTCATTATGTTAACTAGTCACATTAAAACATACGCATTTTCTTTTTTTTTTCTTTTTGGTTTGGGACCAGGAACCTAGCTAAGGACTTCATGCTTGCCGGCAGGTCACTAAGCCCTCATATGCAGAATTTTTAAAATATATACCCACTGTTATTCTGTGGAAGAGAGTCAACCTAATAAATCTGTACTTCAATGTATTTGAAATGCCTACATATTTACAAATAGTGAATTCTTGTCAAAATGGATGCATTTAATTATTTGTTATTTGCCTCACAATCTGTGGACAACAGATTTGGAAATTTGGATTCCAGGCCAGTTCTTTCTGTTTGGCATGCAAGACAGAACAGATCAGAGAGTAGAAAGTATATTAGGTTGAATAATTCTAAAATTTACACAGCTAGGGTATGGTCTCAATGTCTCAGAAACAATATATAAGGCATTCTATAAAGTAGATTTATCAAGCATTATCTTTGATATAAAATTTGGTGCTATTCTTGTAAGTCACTTGACAAAAAGCAGTCAAGGATGAAGAATGGGATAGAAAAGTCTGCAGCTCTCAACTATTATGCTTCTTTTATATCTAACTCATAGTTATTTAAAACATTTCTAAAATTTGTATTTTATAGTGGCAAAATTAAAAAGGTTATGAGCTTCTTAGGTGCATTATGACTAGAAATATTGTGTTTGAATAGTCTTTCCTTCCTTCTCCCATTTCACATCCTATGATCTCAGAGTAAACAATGGTTTTAGAAAGATGTGACAAAGAGGTCTTTCTAAAATGAAGTGAGTTATTGTAAATTAAGCGGGATGCAGCTTACTGAGTACAGTCAATATGTGTAATTATGGAATATACTTAACCTCTTATGGGAAATAGTGGGTTCATACTGACTTTCATGCTGACTTCTCTCATTATTTCTAACAAGATTGTAGCCATTACTTCTGATCTTTCGTTAATCAGAATCAGGAGCCTTCTAAACGCTGCATTGATTCCACTGTGTTTGTACCACATTTTCTTTACCTGTCTGTAGGTGGATGGAAATAGTTTCTTTCAATTTCTTGGCTATTGTGAATTGTGCTGTCATAAACATGGGGTACAGATGCCACTTCTGCATACTGATTTAATTTTCTTTGAATATATACCCATTAGTGTGATCACTGAATTATATGGTAGCTCTAACTTAATTTTCTAAAAAGTCTGCATGCTGTTTTTCACAATGGTTGTGCTAGTTTACATTCCCCAACAGGTGTGGAGTTCCTCATCCCCTGTATCCTTGCTAACATTGTTATTGTTTTTATCATAGCTATTCTGGTTGGAGTGAGGTGCAATTTTACGGTGCTTTTCATTTGCATTTTGATGATGATTAGTGAGGCTGAACATTTTTTCATGAAGTTGTAGACCTACTTATATTTTTAGGGGGAGAAGCAAAGGTTATTCATATCATTTTCCTGGAAACAATGCATGAGTTGTTAATATCTTCTTTATCTGACCTAGATCATATGCATTAAAATTTTCACGGCATTTATGTGAAGTCATCATTTTGCTGAGAATAGATTCATAAAAATGTTTTACAAAGTTGACAGAATTCAGGAGTATTAGAAATGCAACCATGCAGCAGTGTATTGTGAGTAGAATCAAGCTAATCCTAAGGCACAGGTGCAAGGATCAACACTCAAGGACTCAAATGAAAATAATATATGGAAATGTTACACAGGCAACATACCTCTTATCTCTAAAGAGTGTCACAGATTGCCAATCTCTTATTGTGCTCAAGAAAACATACTAAATTACAGTTCATTCATATAATTTACGGATAAATAAATAAATAAATAAATTGACTGAATATTTTAGTCTTTAAACACTAGCTATTTTAATACACTGGATTTTTATTTACAATAAATTAAATATTTTAACATCTCATTTGATCCAGGAGACCTTAAATACATGGGCCTTGTATTTTTTTTTGTTGTTGTTTAATAGGTTTAAGGCCAATTAATAAGAAAACAAGCAATTTTGTCACTGTGCTGACCCTAATCAATTTTAACCCATATTTTCTGAAATAGCTCTAGAGGTATTTATGAGACACGAGTAAGAAAAATACAGTTGATGGTGCTGTTGTGCACCACCCCGTGGAAAGGTAAACTTGTGAGACCATTATGGTAGGCCCTCTTCCATCTATCCACTGGCCTAGAAGCTTGTGCCTTCTGGCTGTTCCTCCAGTCAAATAGGAAATGAAAGGTTATTATCAGTAGTTGTGGTTCACTACAGGAACAATATATCTCTTTACCTTTGTGTCTCTATATCTACTTTATGTTGCATGCGTGTAATACATAGTA